TGAGTGAGAACCTGTCTCAATTCATAAAACAAACAAACAAAAACATCTCAAAACCAGCAACGGTTCAAGCTACAGTATAGCCGTGCACTGGGACTGTTGAATGCCTCAAAAGGAGAGTCACATGATTAGAGAAAGTACTGCAACATAAGGTCATGAACTCTGTTCTTCTTATGTACGTGCAGCTTCCTAGTTAGGAAAACTACATCCCAGGCATATCTGGTCACCTCTCCAGGAACTTTCAACTAGGACAAGAGTAGAAGAAGCCAGAAGTCACCATTGTCATAGGCACAAGTACACAGAGGAATTAAGCAGGGAGGGTGGCTGCATCGGAGTTGCTGAAAGCTCCCGTCGAGAGCATCAGCTTCAGTCGGCAATGCCAGGCATTCCTCAGGCATATGCTGAGCTCTGTGTTACGTAGCTGGGGTTCTAAATTGGGAAATCAAATCAGCTGTGCTTTGGATGCTTTTCTTCTTTCTGCTGATGAACTGTGACTTGATCGGGCTCTCTGGTTTGATTCTGTTAGCCGATGCCAAACATCGGCTAAAAAATGCTCAAGAAGGGGAATGGCACAGCCCTGCTGTGGAAAAGGGACACTTGTCAGTGTTGCTGAGGTTCAAACACGGCCTCATGACACCAAAAATAAAGCTGTTCCCATAGCACCCAGAGTACTTCCTCCTTCCTACTTCATACCTCACTTACTCATCTCCAGACCCTCCCAGCCCCAAGCAGGTTGAGTGACTTCAGAGCCTTCCCCTGTGTCTGCACTATAGTTCAGTGCCTGATACCGAGTTTACCTAACCATTCACTAACAATAGCTGCCATTTTTATTTAGAAGTATTCTCAATGAAGAATGATATGAGAGGATGGTTAAACTGTGTTTTAAGGAACCATTCCCCCCCCTTTTTTTTAAGTCAACAAATTTTTATTTAAGGGATTTTGCATGTCATTCTTTCACGGCCTATTGAGATCACTTAGCACCTTCAAAGCTGAATTCAACCTTTCAAGACAGCCCTTTTCTAAAAGAACTGATGCTTAATCAAGGCATGCAGTCAGCCCACACTTCTCTTATTTGAGCTTCTTTTATTTCCACTGGAGCGAAGAACATATTCATGACTTCAAAGATCTCCATCTGAGACATCACACATATAAGAAGGACACCCATGACAGTGTGGCGGTGCAAAGGGATGACAGTATTGATAACAAGGCTCCCACTTTGAACACCTGGCGTTGAAGACACACGTGTTACTAGAAATGAATGATGTTTGTCAGTTCTGTTTTAACAATGTAGCATTGGTATATCCTACTTACCTGAGTGCAATATCATAGAAATGAGTGTGGTCTAGATTCCTTCCTGTTAAGAGAAGTGGAGTGTCAGAAACTGAAGGGGTAGATCACCTATAAAGTGGATCATAAAGCAAACTGCATCAAGAACCATTCTTATCTGCCAACATGAAGAAATGCAACTGTCTCCTAGTACACATAATACCTCTGCCACCATGGATGGAACAGATCTGTGCTTCATTATTTCCTGGGGCACTGTCAGAAGAATGCTCTTGAGGGATATGAACGCTCTGCTCAGCAAAGTTTAGAGGATATGAGAATCCTGCTTTGGAAGCAGTAAATAACGCCAAAAGAGAAAGCAGGAAAAAGGAGAAATCCAGCCCTTCAAGAATGGGGACACTGGAGACCTCTGCTCTTTATTTGGCTGCCCTGTCGGGCAAATCACTTAACTTCTCTGGCATGTGAACCCACACCATCCCTTCAGGGTGGCATTTTGTTTGGACCTGTGGTGCCTGGTCCCTAACTCATGCACTTACTTGCCGCCTAAAGATGGTCTGTTAGAACCTATGGGGCTACAAAGTCACCCAGGACAGATCCCACTCCAAAGAGGAAACTGATCCCCCTTCCATCATCTGCACTCTGCCTCCCTTCCTGCAAGCCAGCTTGAGGAGGTAACTCGCTAAACCCACCTCTTTCTTGTTCACACTTTCAGTCCTAGCCCAGGCTGAGGAGTAAAGCATCTCCAAGTCTGAGCTAAAGACTGTACTTGGGAGCCCCTTCATGAGGTATGCACTCCCTTGGCTTCTTTTTCTAGAGGAGAGGGAATGCAGCACTGTTTGGTTCAATCGTACTTCATCCAGTACCTGCAATATTATTCAAGGTAGAAGGTTCTAAGCATCTTGAGATCGAGCACTTAGGAAATTCAGAAGTGAGAGGATAGGAAAGGGACAAGGGGCCTGAGGGAGCAGATATAGCCAGGGTTTTTTTTAACTGAATGTGAATGAATGGGCATTGCTATTTAGATGTAGGCAAAGGCTCTTTCATTGGCGATAAGCCAGGCTGACAAGGGGAATAAAATGATGGAAGAGTCAAGGACTGCTTCAGAATTCACGGTTATCCGTCTTCCATCTGACAGGTCTGGGACACAGTGTGTAAAATGGTCCCTACCCAGTGAGCTCACAGATTAGTGACAGAGTTGCAAAACACTAGAAAAGAAGCAAAGAACGATCACCATGCTTTGAAAGACAAGAGGGGGTGGAAAGTATCACTAGGACAAGGATGTTGTAAAGATGCAGGTAGTCAGAGAAGACCTAGGAAGCCTGGGGGGTTTTATGGAGCTGTAGAGAGGCTGTGGTGACAGCAGAGGATCCGTAAAGGGTGGCCCACCAGGCTCTTGTTAGCAGTAGTGGTGTTTTGGTTATCTTTCCTGTTGCGAGGATCAAATACCTGGCTCCATTTAAGGGGATATCATCCATCATGGCAAGGAAGTGCTGGTGTTCAATTTTCTTCTCTGCATTCAGCCCAGGACCCCAGCCCATGGTTGGAAGGTGCTGCCAACATCTAATGGGGTCTTTCCGCTTCAGTTAACTTATCTAGAGAATCCTTCACAGTCTTTTCCAAGGGCCTACTGCTTGGGTAAGTTTAGGTCTTGCCAAACTGATGATGAAGGTCAGCCATCACCAGCGGTGTGGACTTTGTGTTTTAGTCTGTATTCCACATGGGTATCTGAAGCAGGATTTGAAGCCACAGAGAGGTCACACTGTGGTTTACAGATTTTAAAAAAGCCACTGTTTCTGCAATGTAGATTGACTATTATCTATCACTGCCTAACAAATCATCAGCATGCAACCATTTAGAAGAACACACAGCACTGACCCACAGTTTCCACCGCTCAGGAATCTGGGCCCAGCTTCTCTGTGTCCTCTGAAGAATCGGTGAGATGGAGACTGCCTCCCTACAGACCACATCTTTTTGCATCTAAATTCGATTAAGCTGGGTCATTTAAGACAGGTTATGCTAATTATCTTTAACTTTAGTTTGCCAATCCATAAAGTAGAAATGAAAATACTGAAAGGTTATAGCCAGGTGTAAACAACCCAATGCCCAGGGCATACAGAGATCACCACAAGCTGTGTGTTCGCTACTGTGAGGACTGATGCATTAGGCACTTGTATATTGTGTAAAACACCCATAAAGAAACATACAGGCTGTCCAAGCTAGGCTGTCATTCCTCCTGGGAAGGAATGTCCACACGAGAAGGTAGGTGCCGACGGGAATTGTGTTGAGTTGAGAGAAGGGCATCTCTGGACCATACAGCTGGAAAGGGCAGGCTGTCAAAGCTCCTCTCAAGCCAACCCTTGTGGCCCGGGTGAGAGACATGAGCGGTGCTCCCCCTGGGGTGACCTCTGCAGCCTTGCTGTATCCTTAGGTGGGGTGTGATTTGGCTGCTTGTGTTCCGGGTCTGAGGATGTCCGGGTTTCCTGGTGCGGCCATTGACTCCTCTCGTGGTCCTTGTTGGTCAAGGTTTATAACTCTTGGTTCTAATGTCCTCCCAAGGTGACTGGAACTCAGTTTGGAGTGTGATGCATTTGTGGAACAGTTTGCTTTTACGTATTATAAATACACAATTGTATGAATGAGACGGTTTCACAGATGAGGAAACTGAGGCCTGGTGAAGATTGCCTCCTTAAGGATGGAGGCAGAGGCCTTCAGACCTCTGGACCCTTAAGGACCCCTTAAGACCTCTGGGTCCTTGTAGACTCCCAGTCTCATACATTTCACTCATACACAGAAGCTTTTTGTTGTTTTGTTTTGTTTTAATTGGAGTCAGGGTCTCCTATAATAGCCTGGCAACCAATGCTGGCCTGGGGCTTACTACATAGAGCCCAGGCTGGCATCGAACTTGCAGCAGTCTTCCTGTCTCAGCCTCTTGGGGGCCACCACCCCCAGCTTTTCAAAAGGTCCTTTTAATGGAATGTTTGTGTCTGTCAGACCCACCTACAGTTTGAAAGCTTTATGTATAATTCAAATTCACACAAAGGGGTGGGAGTGTTAAGACAAACAAAAACCTTGTTTCTCCCTATCATTGTGAGACCACTGTCTGAAACAAGCCCTTGAGTGCTTGTTCCCAGAGGCCCTCTCTGCCCGGGTTTTCCAGCATTAACTCCCGCCTTGAGCCCTGAACTTCACTCCCCCACTTCATCATTTGCAATGCATTGCCCTTTTTAAGCTCCCCAAGGGGCTGGCTGCACAGGCACTCTTGTCTCAGCTGAGATCTCCTCTAATGCTCCGTGTCCACCGGTCTCACTCAACTCCCCCGCGGCGGAGTCCTCCGAAGCTGTGTCACAGGCTAGCGCTCCCGGAGCCTGGCGTGCAGGCAGCCGATCAGCTGGAGGCAAACACCCAAGCGCAGCCCGAAGGAGTCGGGGCCGAGGGGACCATCAGGCAGCTGTCTCCACCCGCCCTCCTCCTCCTCCTCCTCCCCTTCTTTCCCTCCCCGCGCGGGTGACGCGCCAGCCCCCGCGTTCGCTCGCTCGCTCGCTCGCTCTCGCGCGCCTCCCCGCCGCCCTCTCCGCCGCCGCGTTCGCTCCGCGCTCCGCCACCCGCGCGTCCCCTGGACCCCGCAACTTCACCCGGCGCCGCGGCCGCTGGAGCGACTCCCGAGCGCTTGGGGCCACGACTGTCACCCGCTGCCCTTTCCCTGCGGGCTGGGAGGAGCGAGCGCCGGCTGTGTGCGGAGCCGGAGGCGCGGGGCAGCGAGGGGCGGCGCGTGGGTGCCGAGGTGGTACATGCCACCCGGTACTAAGCGTCTCCGGGCACCAGGAGCGTTCTCGGCAGGTAGGTGCCTGCGCCTCTTAGAGATGTCCTCCACGCCTGATTTGGTTTTCCCTGGGGATGAGGTGGGGGCACGGGAGGGGTGTCCCGAGCTTGAATGACAACCCCTGGGCGTCTGGGCTTCCTCGGTCCTGGCGAATCGGGGGTGGGGAGTCCGATGCCGGCTGGGAGGAGATGGGAAGTTGCTAAGTGAGAGGGGCAGGCAGATCCGAAAGGTGTCCCGGACCGCGGAGGGACCGGTTGAGAAGGTCACAGAAGCCTCTGGCGCCTACCTAGGGTTGGGCTTGTCGGGGACCGAGGATCACCTGAGAGGTGGGAGAAGCGGCGCGTGAGCGTCCGCGGGTGAACCCCCGGCTCTCTCGGAAGACTTCCGGGCACCCAGCCGCGATGGGTGATCCAACTCAGAGGAAGGATCACAATTTCCCAGGGCTTCGCGTGCCTCCAGACTGAGCGATTGAGCTTGGCTGGGACCCAGCGGCTCCGAATTGGCCACGTGAAGCCGGCCGGTGAGAAGGGGAAGAGGGCAAGTCAGAGGGAATGTGTTGCTCTTGCGGCCCACCTGTTTGGAAGGACTTGGGTACAGGGTCACCCCTGGGGAACACTCCAGCCCCAGCAGGTGTCTGCGGTATTGAAGGTCGGTTTCTGTAGTTCTCCTGCCTCGGGCTATTTATTACCTCATAGCTCCCTCCCACAGATTCGCCGGTAGCGGTACAGACCCCTCGCTGTAGAAAGGAACAGGCGTTGAAATTCCCTAAGCCGTTCATTCAGGTGTGGAAAAGACAGGACTGTAGACAGTGACAGCTGCTGCGGGAGAAAACATGACAAAACCCCAGAGAAGCTGGCGGGGGATTTTGTGGAGTGGGGGTAGGGCAGAGTGGGATTCACAGCCTGTGGGCTCTGGATATGTTGAATGAATGACTGTGAAGAAATGTCAGCACTTCAGCCAGGGAAACAGTGTGGCTGTCTTAAAAAAAAAAAAAAAAACAAAACAAAACAAAACAAAACAGCAGGCTGCTTTTCTGCCAGGCTCTTCCCTTACAAATATGAGCCCCCGCCCATTGTTTCCTGGCTCACTCATCTCTTCCTTTTTTTGTTTTGTTTTTGATGTTGGTGGGTTGGTTGGTTGGTTTTGTTTGGGGAGAGTTTTTTGGGTCAGGTTTGCCTGCCTCCTCCTTCCCACCCTCAGTATTCCTACTAGCCTACTTTAGGCAGCCCCAGGAGTCCCATTCATAAGGGCCTTCTATCTGCTGTACAGCAGGAGCGGTCAGGGCACAGCTCCTGCAGAGAACCAGAACCCTCAATCTAGTCTCCAGCAATTAATTGTAAAGCAGCCAGTAGCCACTCTCCTCGGTGGGGATAAATTGCAGGGGGGGGGGGGGGGGTATCTGCCTGTGGTGACAGCGGCTTATCTGCTGCTCAGTCCGACCTCCAACCAACATCAGACCTCCAGCCTTCTCAGGTCCCATCCATGGACATACAGCCACAGGGTGGCTTTGAAGTACATTTGCCATCCGAAAGCTGATTGCACCCAACCATCTGAAAAAGAACACTGGAGAAATATGTTTAGTCAAAACAAATCACATGAGTTGCCTTTCCAAAAGCCCCCTGATGGGTGTTGTTGCTCTCTTCCTCTGACACTCTGATAGGAGATGTTTTTGCTATGAATGTTTTGTCCTCAGTATAAATATAAAGAGAGGGGGGAAACTGAAAGCATGGCCAGAGGCCTTGCCTGGAATCCCAGTTACCCAAACACAGGTTCCATAAATGGCTTCTTTCCTTTGCTCAATTACAAAGTAGAGTTATTTCCAGCAGAGAAGGGACTTGTTCCCTTTCAGGGGATGAAATGTCCCAAGTGGGCTAGGCGGAGGTTTTCATGTCTATTGTTTGGATCTTAGGAACTACACCCATATAAGCATCCAGGCTTCAGCCTTTGGAATGGGGTCCTGGCAGGTGTGCTGACTGAATCTTCCTTCACTAATGTGAAGCTCCCCCTGCCAGGAGAGACCCAGGGCTGTGCGACAGCATCCGCCATGTACCTCCTTCTAAATGTAACCAGATGGCTGCTGTTGTTCTCCTCCCCCCTCTCCCTGCCCCTCCCTGTGTATTCGAAAATGTGTGTGTGTGTGTGTGTGTGTGTGTGTCTGTTCAGATGGTTTCTGCCAGTCTTCACCTTATAATTTAAGACAGTCTTACTGAACCTGTTGCTCACCAATTCAGCACAATTAACTGGCCCAGGAGTTCTAGGGGTTTCCCTGTCCCTGCTTTCTTGGTCCTAAGATCACAGGTAGGCACCACCATGCCCAGCTTTTCACAGGGGTCCTGGGATTCAAAGTCAGGTCCCCACGTTTGTGTGACAAGAACTTTACTGGATGAGCCATCTCCCCAGCCCCTCTCTGTTACATAGTGAGCTCACCTTATTACCCCACTTCTGTTAAGAGACCCAGAGAAGGGCAGCTGTAGAGAGTGGACAATATAGCTTTCAGATTTCATGTTTTATGATCAGAGCTTTCTTACAGTGGTCCTTTGGGTTAAAGGGTTTGCAAACAAGTGCTTTATTTTAGCATCCATTCATTCAAAGGATTGGAAAAAAATTAAAATGCAGTCTTTTTTATTCTAAAAAGAAGCAACAAGTCTAAAGACTGTCTCTTGCTTTCTGTGAGAGGAAGTACGAGTGGAAGCGAAAGTCATTTTATCTGCACAATGGCTGATCCTCAGGCAATAGCAGACTCATTTTTTCATCTGGGCTTCCTGTGCCTAGCACTGAGCAGGGGCTTCATGTTTGCAAACAGATCTTTTACCAGGGTTATTCTCATCTACCAAGAAAAGCTCCTCCCTAGTGGTGGTGGTGATGATGGGGCGGAGGGGGGCAGCTTGTGTTTGAGGCCATTCAACCAGAAAAGAATACCAACTGAAATCAGACAATGGGTCAAGGGAGTTGGGGTGGGGTGGGGGAGGAGGCACAGATAGGCAAGTAATTGGTTCCGAAAAGACAAACCTCAGTATGGAATGGTATCTTGGAGAGGTTGTTGTGCAGACAACTCACAATGCCACTATTGGGAAGATGTGTTCACTAAAGGGAAAGGATTATGAAGCTGTAGCTCTGTACCCCAGCGGAGCCGTGCTGTGGGCCTCATTCCTCTCAGCTGTCAGACTGTATTCAGTTTCTCTGGGCAGCATACTGCCTCTGAAAACTTCGATGTACACGACTTCGAGGGGGCTCTATGGAACAGCCCATCCCATATCTTGAGCAAGCTAATTCAGAAACACCCTCCTATGCGCACACACACACACACACACACACACACACACACACACACACACAGGCTTCCTCTCTGGGCTATTGGTCTAGGTCTTTGTTTGGTTGATTTGGTCACAGTAGGCTTATCCCATTTGAGTTGGAAACATTCCCTGGAAATAATAGGTGTTTTTCAGAGTGTGGCAGCTATCTAGTAAGGATTCATTTACTCATTGAGGGTTTTCCCTCCTTCTAAGGATTTGTTTACCCTCGAGGATTTTCCCTCAAGGAACCCAGACTACTGTCAAGAGAGGAAATCTATCCAGTTTATTTTATTGTTCTTTGTTTACATGACAACGATGGGCAAGGGAGGAAGCGTTGAATGCTTTTACATTCATTAACACTAATGAAAAAGGAAATTGGAATTTTTTTCCGTGAAAGAAAATGAGATGCAGTATTTTCTATGTTGTCTTCCATAGGACTAAACTGAGCTCCCAGCCAGAGGATGAAGCAAGCTTTAAACAAAGAGAATGGGTTTTCAGATGTTTTTCAAGCACTGTGCAAATTTTACACTATTCTAAAATACATATAAAAATTGATTACCAATCAGTTTTAATTCTGAAGTAGATTTCTTGAGTCCACTATTAGATAATGTAGGGCAATACTATTTTTCCTTTTTCTCCTGCTTATGCATGTTTTCCTTGAGCAAGTACTTGGGATCTCACCAGAGTGAGACTTCTCCTTCAATGTAAAAGCATAAAATATCAATTATACCTTCCAGGAAGTGCAGTCCGGCAGAGAAGAAGGAAGAAACCATAGGGTGACTACATGGCTTGGTTAGCCCCATGTATTAACTGGTTCTTTGTCATAATAACAACATACCTGAAACAGGGTGCTTGTGTAGCTCACAATTTGGAAGGCTAAAAGGCCAGATGGTATTACAGGGGTCTGGTGAGAGCACCTCTTGATGGCAAAACCTCATATGAAGGTAGTTATTAGAGGAGCGAATAGTAAGCAAATGAAGACATCTTGAACCACAGGCAGGGAGAGCCTAGAATCCCACACTCCCTTCAGAGAACGTGCTTTCAGTTAGCATAGGGACCTTCCACGAGGTTCCAACCTCCAAAAGTGTCACCCCTTTCAAATAGTGCCAGTCTGGGACCCTTGGAGGACATGGGAACCACGCTCAAATCATAGCCCTGCATTTGTTGATACTGTTGTAAGACGGCTATTGATATCAAATACACTTCTTCACTCAAAAGCATTTGAGGTTTGGACAGTATGAGGGTGGTCACCCTAGGCAGGTCAGAGAAAGCTGTGCCTCTTAGGAAAGATGAATGGAAGGAAAAAGAGAGACTACCAGCTAAAAAGACCAGTGGGCTCCCTGGGGGCTCAGATGGGCTGTTCGGTTTATTCCTGTGCCCCTGTGGTTTGTGCCTAGCCAATAGAAGGCATCAGCTACGAATTAACAACTTGCAAGCTGGAATTTAAGAGCAGGAACCTAACAGAAGTTAGTGAAGGGCAGTGCGATGAGAAGGCCGGCCCAGCAGGGAAGGTCACCTGGGAACAGTTGTGAAAAAGCGATTATAAACGACAGTGATATCATAGCAAGGTTGAGCCACGGACACACTACAAAACACCTTACCTGTAGAAACAAACAATGCCTTTTAACAATTCCTTGTGTTTTTGCTTTGCTTTGGGCTTGATGCTACTGGCTTTCCTTTGCAGCCCTGGGAGTGTGCTCCTCCTTAACAAGCTGGTTGTTCTG